AGAAATGGATAAAACAATCACAAATCCCAACAAAATAGGGTCATGTATAGAAATGATTTACCGCATCGCACATATACGAAGAGCGCAGCCTTTGTAAATGTTTGAAGTTCTTGAAGACATCACCAACTACTGATAAAATTATAGCTGCAATCACGCTCTGAAAATATATCTCGTGATTCTGAAAACCGAAAGACCGAAACAATCAGGTAAAAGTTTACCGAAGGAATCAATCCGAAAATCCATCGTCCAAAGCACAACGCAAGAGAAATCCATACAGTAGCGAATAAGTTACTCATCTGTAAGATATCCAGGTACTCCCATAACAACCACACAACATACACTGCGGAGCTGTGGAGATGAATTAGTGCCCCATGGCGTCACCCCGGGGAGAAATTCTGGGTCTGCCCCCACTTGTGTGACGAGCCTTTCTTCCCCACGAGAATTGCAACCGGAGATTGTAAGTGGAATTCGTCTGACAGGAAAGCCTGACCTAAACATTTCCCGAAAGTCACTCTAGCGTCTCCAAAGGTTTTCAGTGTTTTCTATAATTCACGAATGAGTTGGCTACCGTACGCGCACACTTCTCCTATTCAACTCTGCTACCTTCTACACTTCAAATCCCTGAGATGGGGTAGGCGTGGCTGCACACTTCAACTGGGCGCTAACTGTGCTTCTGGCGAGACAATTCCATTTCGAGAAAATAGTGGTCATGTCTTTGTCCAAGCACTCAACAAGATGACAGTTGTCTCAAATTGAAACATCCCAAGAGTAACCGTTCTATGCCATGCTCGAATGCCACGCCTACCCGTCTCAGGGATAAGGAGTGTAACTTATCGCGATGCCCGTACACAAAAGCACGGTTGTCTACGCTTTTAACTAAACTTGTCATCAAACTGTAATTCTCATAAGACAAACCAATGAATATTTTTGTGACTCCGTATCAATCTGGCTGCCATTCATGGAACTCGCTACTGGTAGTACCCCTAATGGGCATGAGAAGAGTGAAATGATAGACATACAGAACAGCTCCTGGAAGGGAAATAATTAGGAACTAATGCGAAGCTCTTCTGTTAATGTCTGCCCACCTGCTTTTTATTGATTGATGGCTGATTTCGTGAACACATCGCCCTCATGTGAGAAGCCATAATAAACAAAAAAATAGCAAAAGCATCTACGAGAACGAAGGCGTTCGAAAGAGAAGGCACTGTTATCGAAGGAATTCTAAATCGATTTCGATCAAATCAGATATCTGTGGGCGACAAAACTGGTCTTCATGGAACTCCTCATCCTCCTCGTGAAAATTTGAATGAACTGATTAGGTGAATTTTAGCTTGGGTGCTACAACAGTAACGTGGTGAGTTATTCTGAGCACACTTCTATGCTACGTATCAGGATTTAAGAACGGCGGCGTGATGAGGACCCTAGCGCCACTGAAGAAACTCATTATCAGTAGCGCCGGAGCTCCGTATTTCTCCTATGTTTTCGTTCCTTATCAAAATTTCAAGTTTATGTGAGATTCCCCATAGTGAGGTTCCCCAAGTAATGTTACACAATATCTTCAAGGAATACCACTGAGCATAGCCAGCCTGCAAAATTTGCCAAAAAGTTTGTGGCCACATCCAAGCTGCTCCGCTGAGTCATACACTAATTGCGTTAATCTGTGAGCCTATCCCCTCCCCCCCTCCCCAAGGTACAGCATCGTTGTGTGAAACACATGGGGGGGGGGAAATCGTACTAGTCTGCTAGGGATGGGGAGGGGGTCATACTGTCGTTATTTGGTCCTTCTCGTTTCACACTGGCCATCTACCCTCCCCCTCCTCTCGCTCCTCCCAGTCCACTAATTCGACGGAAACTATTTGGGTGAAAAAACTGGAAAATTGGGAAATGGGAAATTGGGAAATCTCGTAAAAACTGGTAGAGAGCAGGGAGTTCGTAGCAAGTGGCAATTAGGTGTTGGGGAAGGGAGGGAGGGTCGTACCGAGACGTTCCTTCGGGTGGGGCGTAGTATCGAGACAGTCCCTGGAGGGGGAGTAGTACGGACACCCCATTACACACATCACGATGATATACCCTACCTCCCCTACTGTCATAACTTTTATCGGAACGGCTTTCATGAAGCACGTAGCAAGACTGATGCAATTTTGGTGCCTGTCCAAAAGAGCTTTACCCTTATAGAGATTGGAGGTCTTCGCTGTCAATAGTAGGTACAGTAACATTGTTGGCTTCATTGGGTAATAAAATGGAAACAAACCAACTCACATTGATTCTGCCTTTACAGGCAGTAAAATTGAAGGCGGAAACTGGATGAAATACGAGACAAGCGCAGTGATAAGGATCTGAAAACATTTCAGGCTACTACGATATTGATTCAGAAGGCATTGATAAGGTAAAATTCAAGCCCCGGAATGACGGAATACTGTACCCATTGGATGGCGATATAAACGATGATGAAGATGATGAACGTTCTCAAGTGTGCTGCAATGAATCCAGAGCCCTGAGTAAGCATGATGTTCCCTTGCAGACATTATCCCTACGTGACATCCCTACGGGCCCTATCAGACCCTATCAGACATCCCTACGTGCCAATGGTGAGCGGCGACATAAGGGTCACCAGACCATCACGAGTCTTCAGATTCATTATCAGTGAAGTCAGTCGGAGCGTGTCAGCGATGTGTGGGTTTTGGCGCGAAGCCAGGCCGTTTTTATCGGTCCTTGCGGGTCGGGTATCTAATTAACGGCGAAAAGACAGCTGGCGTCGCGTCATCCAAGCCAGTGCTGACGCGCCCCGACTGCCTCCGGTGATAAAGGCTAGGACTCCCAGTGGGGATGAATGCAACACTTGTATGGCTGCGGACGGTCCAAAGGCAGTCTTTACCACTACCCGAGAAGCAGCTCGCACCCGCTAGAAATTCACTCGTTTGGTAGTGGTCTTTGAAGACAGTCTCGATGCTCAAGCCATTCGTGGGCGTCCTTACTTGTGCGAGTAGTCTGGTCCCCATTCCCTGAGAATATTCCACTTTCGCGGCTTCACAGTAAGTAACAAGGCGCTGTGGCCCTCACAAGTGGCAGTTCTGACGCCTCCCTAGTTGTCCGCCCACCGAAACTCAAAGGCAATTTCTGTCTCGGTATCAGTTTTCACACCGTATTTTTTGTTTATTTTCGCTATTGAATGGTATTAGCATTGGATGACGCGAAGAAACAGCTAATGGGCTATAGGCAGCAGGATGTAGCTTTATTGGCTTAAAACAGGTCTCGAAAAGTCATCCTGAGAGGCTGCGAGAAAGTCTTTAGGGTGTTCTCCATAAATTTTTTTCCTCTTTTTTTCCCTTGTAGCGTCATCTGTGGGCTATGCGTTTGTTATTGAACACCACTATTCACAATATGCAAGTGGTTTGTCTTTGAAATACTATGTGATCATTCATAATAGAACAACGGAACTCACAATAATCAGTTCATGTGGAACAGTAGTGCCGATCCAGTCCAGTAGGGCGGCATTCAATTTCCATTTGAAAGCGAGAAGAGTCGCTAGGACGACTAAGAATATTAGGACAGGCCTATAGTCTACTGATAGCAGACAGGAGGATATTGAATCGATGCACTAAAAGGCGTTCATTGTAAGACAAGGGCGATCTTCATGAACACCTAAGAGTTTTCCTTGAGACAAGAGGAGTATAAATAGACGAAAAAATAGAGAAAATAGTAAGGATTTCCGAGAGAAAAGAAAGCGAAAAATTCGGAGACGGAGCCACAGGAACTCTATGTCTGCGCGTTGGAAGGGGAACAATCACGAACATGGTTGTGAGCGCGGTATCAGTAGACTGTTGTTGGTCCAGGTACACTTGACATCGTCGCAATCATCCGGGCGGTGTCAGGAGGCATGGAATGAGCCCATGCAGCGTATCTACCACTTTCCACCCTCTTGACGTCGCTCTGACTGATTGCGGCGTTATCAACTATACAGGGGGGGGGCAAAAAAGACACTTTGGCCGAGTCACATATCAGTAAAGTTTACGCAGCCCAGACAGAAGACGTGGATACGAGTACCAGGGCGGAAGATACCCAAGATGTTCCTCGATAAGCAGGAGCAGGCTCTCGCCCATCACCTTCATGTACACCAAAATATGAAGTCATCTCCAATCGCAGCCGACTGGAGAAGGCCTATGGAATTCACCTCCAAACAGCTGCGAAACTTCTTGTATGGAGTCACCCATGGATAGCTACCTGGAGACCAGTACTCTCGATCTGGAAGACCTCCAACATCGAGCAGCTCCGACAACGTCGCTACGGTCTAGGACATCATCTTCACCACAGTCGCCAAGGCGCGGGTTGATGGTATGGACCGGCGGTACCTGGAATGAGAAGACCAATATTTTCTTCGTGGGCCCGGACTAGAAGTGAGCGCTGACGGTTACATTGACCAACTCGAGGAGAATATCCTGCCTTCATGTCGTCGCCTGTACCACCTTGGAAACTTCGTACTGCTACAGGAATTTG